CATCACTACGCGCCGTCGGACTCGGTTCAAGATGGAGAACAAGGGGATGGTTATCATAGTGCTCGAGGCGGCGACGGCTATCGGTCTCCTGTCGCGGACGTCATTCGCGTTTCCTCATCCGACTCAAACTCTGACTCCGACTCTGATTCCGACTCTGATGAGGATGAAGAAATGGGCGACTCCGATCTAAACCTCGAGCCCGAAGATGAAGAGGAAGACGATTTTCTCCCGCCCCGTGGACGTCGTGGCCATTCCGCCGACACGGACACTACGGCGCCTGCAACTGGCGTCGAGACAGCAGAAGAAGCTGACGACGAGGAAGAATCCGAGGTGGATCCAAATGCTACCATCGACCTTGACCCAGACGAAGATGAGGATGAGGAAGATGAGGCACCTGTTCGACCCATGGGTAGAGGCCGGCGCGCTGCTGCAGCTGGATGGGGATGGGGCGCGCCGCAGCCTGTGGTAGAGAACACTCGTGCTCGAGCGCGAGCAAGGAGGTTAAGGAGGATTGATTCTTCAGACCTTGGGTCGGACAGCGGGTCGGAGTATTTTAGTGAATAAGGGCGGGCCAAATATTAGTTGTATAGTGATTGACTTATATGTGATTATACTTTTTGGAGATTTAGTTCTTTTTGGAGATTTAGTTCTTTTTTAAACTTTGATGTAGCCTATTACGATGGACATGCGAAGTATCCGTGCATTGTAGAGGTCGTTTTTGTTGAATTTACTTGTCATGTTTTTACATTGAGAAGATGCAGCGAAAGCCCAGCTGCGATTAAAAGATTGGTGATGTCAAATAATTATACACCCTCCAACAAAAAAGGTGAGGCCACACCCAGATTCGAACTGGGGTTACCGGAATTTCGATTACTCAGAATCCGAGGTGATAACCGCTACACTATGCGGCCTTACGCAACTGGGGTGTGTGTAGATTAGATTGTGCGTTTTCAACAGACTAACCAGCTGGCTACCTACATCTTCGAGCTGGGAGAATATCAGATACCACTGACTTAATAAACGAGCTGTGGACCATTTGTTCGGAGCCAGGAGCGATCTTCGCCTTGCAATGTGATGTTTTGCCTTTAGCGCCAAGGTTACAAACCGAGAATCAGGTGGCGCTAGAGTTTCAATCTGACCACCACCCTCAAATGGGTAACAGCGTTTCCGGACAATACAACAACCGACCGGGAGGAGCCCTTGATAGTTATGTGAGTGAACTCGGTCCGGATGTGGTCTACGAGAAGAGGTATGTACATTCTCGGTTGACCTCACGCGTTCCTAATAATGTATTTCTCTATCTAGCGTGGGCTCTGCGAGGTTCTTGAAGACGGTTCGAGCTCGGCACAGGAATGGACCGCTTGTGATTAAAGTGTTTATCAAAGCGAGTGCGGACTTGACATTACGAGATCACAAAACGAGGTTGAGGAGTGAGTTGTTTGTATATCAGTTAATTGCATGGGCACTTATGATTTAGACCATCGGGATAAGCTTATCGGTATACCGAACGTACACACGTATCAAGCCTTTGTCGAGTCGGACAAGGCTGGGTATGTGATACGACAGTGGTTGGCGAGTAACCTTTACGACCGGATTAGGTACGCCCGTGTCTCTTGTTTTGAGCCACAATTAACTCTGAGATAGTACACGACCGTTCTTGAGTGTCATTGAGAAGAAGTGGTTTGCGTTCCAATTATTGTGTGGGATGAAGGATGCGCATAGCAAAGGAGTAAGTGGTTCGTCATATCTTCGTCCTCAGGACTTACTTGGGGCAGGTACCCCATGGGGATATCAAATCCGAGAACGTATTGGTCACGTCGTACAACTGGATATACATCACCGACTTTGCTTCTAGTAAACCCACCTTCCTCCCTGAAGATGACCCCTCCGACTTTGCGCTGTTCTTCGATTCCTCTGGACGACGTACTTGTTATATCGCCCCCGAGAGGTTCTACGCAGCAAGCTCCGAAATCGCAGCGCAAAAAGCGGAAAGGGAACGTCAAAGTCGGAGGGACGGCGACGTGACAGAGGCAATGGACGTCTTTAGTATGGGTTGCGTAATCGCCGAGTTGTTCACTGAGGGTACGCCGACCTTTACGTTGAGCCAACTGTACAAGTACCGTGCTGGTGAAATCAATCCCGAGTCGCACTTGGTGGGTTTGGAAGACTCTGGGGTCAAGGTACGTAATCACGTTTCCCTGTAACTCTGTTTCTCACAATGCCATAGGCTCTGGTTGTTAGCATGATCTCTCTCGACCCAACTGCACGCCCCACCTTCAAGGCCGCTTTAGAGTCTTGTCAAGGATCAGTGTTCCCAGAGTCCTTCTATTCGTTCCTACATGAATATGTTTCAAGCGTCAACGAGATTACGAGCTCCTCCATATTCACCTCCAAGCCTGCCCCTCCACCCAACCCTCTGGAGGCACCATCGGGTGGTGCTACTCCAACTGTTCCGCCACCTGTCGGCCCAACCCCCACCCCTTCGACTGTAGGAGCCGCTCCTCAGAGTGTTGGTCAGAATCCTGGGGCGACAACGTATGAAAGTATGTTACCGAATGAGTCCGACGCTCGTATAGACCGACTATGGAACGATTTTGCAATGCTGGAACCTTATCTATTGGTGCTCCCCGACGAAGAAGAGAGCGGAAAGCGACCCGATAACGCCGCCGGGAGGACAAGAGCACTACCGTTTCAGGTTTGTGTTATTGGCGAGTCCACGCGCACTGAGTCACTGACTATCGATTCAGGATATTCTACCAGTCGAGCTAAGCATCCCAAAGCGCACCAGTAAACTACAAGGTGACTTGTTACCCAATCAACGAGCAGCTTCCGAAGGTAAGCTGTTTAGATTGTATGCGTCCCAAAACTGAACCTTGTCCAAGATGGCCCTGCCCTGATCGTGCTCTCTCTTGTTTGCGCTAATATTCGAAATTGCACGATCCCAAGCTCCAAACTACGTACACTAGACCTGCTACTCGCCTTGGCAGTTTATCTAACAGACGAAGCTAAACTTGACCGATTGGTGCCATATGTGGTAGATTTGCTACACGACGAAGCTGCGGTGGTGCGTGCCGCCAGCGTCAGGACATTGACTCAAGTGGTGAGTCAAAACGACCGCACCATTAGGGGTTACTAACTGCAAATTCAGCTGATGCTCGTGGCGGTTATCACGCCTTCAAATGCATCTATTTTTCCCGAATATATATTCCCCAACGTTCGACACTTGGCAACGGACCCAGACGAGTCTGTACGATGCATGTTTGCCCAATGCATTGCCCCACTAGCAGAGGCTGCGACCAAGTACCTTGAACTTAGTCAAGCGCTGAAGGCGCATGGGACATTCAAGCTGAGTGATGTGCAGGATACCGATGAGATGGTGTTTGAGGTATGTACGGTAAATCTTAACTATTGGACTTGACTCTAACGGCCTCGGAAGATGTCTCATGAAGCCAGCCTACAAGACCTTCACTCAGCAGTCCAGGATATTCTCGTCACCGCACTAGTCGACCCTTCGAGTACAGTCAAGCGCGCGGTTCTGCATAACATTTCGTCACTATGTGGTTTCTTTGGGCGACAAAAGACGAACGATATTCTTTTGAGTCATATGATTACCTACCTCAATGGTCGAGACTGGCTGTTGCGATATGCGTTCTTCGAAAGCATAGTTGGTGTTGCTACACGCGTTGGAGCACGCAGCCTGGAGGAATATATTCTGCCTTTAATGATCCAGGCTTTATCGGGTAAGCGAGACGACACTCTAGTGAGGTGTATTCTAAAGAGTTTGTAGATGTCGAAGAAACCGTTGTGTACAAGGTCTTATCGTCTCTGACAAGTTTGTCTGAACTCGGCTTATTCCAAAAGATGCGAACCTGGGAGTTGTTGAGTGCTACGGTGCCATTTTTATATCATCCCAGCATCTGGGTCAGGCAAGGTGTGTACAAAGGGGTACGTTTGATACAATACTCAACGTCCCTCTTTAGGCGCTATTGCATTTATTGCGTCTTCAACAAAGCTCCTCCCTCCAACAGACGTTTGGTGTATTTTGTATCCAGGGCTTCGACAAGCATTGCGGGCAGATGTTAGAGCGATTAGCGAACAAAGTCTTCTCAGTACGGTCAAATCTCCAGTACGTACTTTCCATGCAATTTGGTCATCTCAATCTAAAATCACACAGCTTTCTCGACAAATATTCGAGGCAGCTATCACTTGGGCCATGAAGAGCGATAAAAGCCCATTTTGGCGCGGCCAGATTGCTAGACTAAAGACCAGCAAAGAGTCGTCGAAAGATCTAGTAACTAATATGAGCAAGTCAACTGTGCTACCTCGGACAGGACCTAAATCAGAAGAGTGAGCCCGCTTTCCTTTGTGTATATGTCACCCAAGCTAAAACCACGGGGGCAGGGATGACGCTCAGATTGTCAAGCTTCAACAGCTCGGGATGTCCTCCGCAGAAGAAGCAAAGTTAGTTGCCTTGAGAGACTACATTCTGAAACTCGCCAATACCATCAAGAGGTGCGCATATTTTCATTCGTGATAAACCTCCAATCTAAACAACTAGTAGTTTCGCGGCTCGGGATAAGGATGAAACCGAGGTGGTTGACGTCTTACACAGTCCGATTGCCGAGCTGCAGAAATTAGGCGTTGTCCCCCAAACCGTGTTCGTAGGCACACGACCTACTGCTAGTGAGGCGCCGTCTATTTATGCGGCGAGCGCATCAAACCGTAGATCTACTCTGGATGTTACACCACGGAACCCTAACCTGAATGCCCATCGAGGAGCACGTAGAGGTAGCGTGGATATCAGCTCGAGATCCGCCAGTCCATTTGATGACTTGCGGCGACACCTGGGCCAAATGGAAGGCTCTCCGCTCGGTCTGGGAGTCCCCCAAGCTCGCGTAATTGGGCGAAAAGACTCTCAAAACTCGCTCGCCAGCGGAAGTGGCATCCACTCGCCAGTAGCAACAGACCCGGCATCTGATACGCCTACCCTCGACTTCGCTCCTTCTAGCCCTTCCGAATCTGTTTCTGTTTTATCTGGTGTAACTGGTCCGGACATGCGACGTCGACACCTGAGGCACCTTGTACAAGACGGACGAGGAACTGCGCTACCTACAGTAGCGCCTGTGAGGACAGTAGCTACCGGGACATTAGAAACTCCAACGAAGCTTAGCGAAATTCCTGCGTCTGGACGAACATCCCCCGCCTCAACTGTGCGGGGGGACCGGCCAAAACTAAGGTCTCCAGGGCCATCTTCCCTAGCATACGGTGAGTCTGTGTCGTTTACCCCCGAGCTTAGGCTAATGATACATTAGAAAATCATGGAGCTAACATAAACAACTTACTGGAGCAAATGAATATGGACACTATTCGTGAAGGCATGCAAGACTTTGGACCCAAAATCCATTCTGGACCCATTCGGCGACGCAACGTCCCACGGGGTCATATGCCCTCGCGAGACAGTGGATCTCGACGGCCTGATACGCTCCTCATATCACATATGAACGCACACGACGGGCGTGTCAACGGCTTGGCTGTCGCACCTGACCATACGTTCTTTGTCTCCTGCTCGGATGACCGTACCGTCAAAATATGGGACACCGCTCGTCTAGAGCGCAACGTCACAACAAAGCCGCGGCACGTATACACCCAACACCATGCCCCAGTCACTTGTGTTTGCATTATTGAAGGAACCCATTGCTTTGCGAGTGCCGGCGAAGATGGGAGCGTTCATGTTGTGCGGGTTCACGTCAATGCTTCGAGTTCGTTACCAAAGTACGGTAAACTGCAGAGCATTCGCGAACACCGATGCGATCAGTTCGGAGAATATGTGACATGGATGACGTATTTCAACGCCGGTGAGCTGATGCTATATCGCGGCCAAAACCAAACTGCTAATATGGATTTGGCAGAC